AATATTAGGGCTAGAAGACAATGGACTGTTGTCCTTCCACTGTTAAGAGTAGGAAGCCCAATAATACCTCCTTTGACCGAGCCTCGTAGACAAGCCCAACGTCCCACCACCTTAACTTGGGAGTATACCGGTATAACACCAAAGAAACATATTAAAAAAATGATGGTCCAATTGGGAAGCCCACGAGGAATATTAGGGCTAGAAGACAATGGACTGTTATCCTTCCACTGTTAAGAGTAGGAAGCCCAATAATACCTCCTTTGACCGAGCCTTGTAGACAAGCCCAACGTCCCACCACCTTAACTTGGGAGTATACCGGTAAAACACCAAAGAAACATATTAAGAAAATGATGATCCAATTGGGAAGCCCACGAGGAATATTAGGAGTATACCGGTATAACACCAAAGAAACATATTAAAAAAATGATGGTCCAATTGGGAAGCCCACGAGAAATATTAGGAGTATACCGGTATAACACCAAAGAAACATATTAAAAAAATGATGGTCCAATTGGGAAGCCCACGAGGAATATTAGGGCTAGAAGACAATGAACTGTTACCCTTCCACTGTTAAGAATAGGAAGTAGTCGTTGCTCTGTGAAACCAGCCTCACGCATTGCCCTCCAATTCTAGGCGCCAAGACCCTTAATCCTTCGAATAGAGACCTTGGCCCAACTCTTAACTTGGAACGGGCAGCCCAATAATACCTCCTTTGACCGACATATTAAAAAAATGAGGGTCCAATTGGGAAGCCCACGAGGAATATTAGGGCTAGAAGACAATGGACTGTTATCCTTCCACTGTTAAGAGTAGGAAGCCCAATAATACCTCCTTTGACCGAGCCTCGTAGACAAGCCCAACGTCCCACCACCTTAACTTGGGAGTATACCGGTATAACACCAAAGAAACATATTAAGAAAATGATGATCCAATTGGGAAGCCCACGAGGAATATTAGGAGTATACCGGTATAACACCAAAGAAACATATTAAAAAAATGATGGTCCACAATTGGGAAGCCCACGAGGAATATTAGGACTAGAAGACAATGAACTGTTATCCTTCCACTGTTAAGAATAGGAAGTAGTCGTTGCTCTGTGAAACCAGCCCTTAATCCTTCGAATAGAGACCTTGGAATATTAGGAGTATACCGGTATAACACCAAAGAAACATATTAAAAAAATGATGGTCCAATTGGGAAGCCCACGAGGAATATTAGGAGTATACCGGTATAACACCAAAGAAACATATTAAAAAAATGATGGTCCACAATTGGGAAGCCCACGAGGAATATTAGGACTAGAAGACAATGAACTGTTATCCTTCCACTGTTAAGAATAGGAAGTAGTCGTTGCTCTGTGAAACCAGCCCTTAATCCTTCAAATAGAGACCTTGGCCCAACTCTTAACTTGGAACGGGCAGCCCAATAATACCTCCTTTGACCGAGTCTCGTAGACAAGCCCAACGTCCCACCACCTTAATGCCTCCACTCGGGTCACAAGCCCACGTTACTGAGCTCGGCGGACGATTCTTAATGACGGCCATTTATTAAGAAGAAACATTTTCAATGAAAATCCGGTGTGGATAAGCCTCACTTTCTAGTTTCTTTCCCCAAACCAAAACCAAATTTAAAATTGCCAGGCTTTATCCGGACCCATTGTGACCCGATTTTGCTCGACCCTATTCAATCCCATTTCTGCAGAAATCTTTCCCCTTTCTCTCAATTTTAAGTGAGGCAAATTTTAGTTCACATTTCATATCTTTAGTTCATATAATTCATAATACACACCATATGTCCATATATTTCATATTTTTTACTCAAATTTAAGTGAGGAAAGTTTTACGTAGTCCTAAGGCCAATGTTCATTTTATTAACCTTCATGTATTGCTATTATAAAAGATTGAGTCATTTGAAAAAATCCATTTATCAATTTATGAAAAATGTGAACATGTTAACATTTCACATTTGAAATTTAGGATTACGGAAAACACCTTTTAAATTAAACCCTCAAATCGAATCGTTTAATGAGTCTTTTAACATAAAAATGGATTATTATGATTCTTAGATAACGAGTACGAAATATTTTTATATTCATTCCGCTTTTAGTGTAGCATCAAGTAATGAATGTTATGTGTTAAATTTTGAATTAGCATATGATATTTTGAATAATTTAAGTCATGTTTTCTTTAACTTATTCATATTATTTATTACTTTTTTTATTGGAATGAGATCAGGTATGATCATACCAGATAAAAAAACTTTAAATATAACTAAATTCAGATCATATCATGCCTGATCAGACCGGACCAAAATGTTTCGAATCAGATCAGAACCATTCAAATCAAGTAAAGAGAACATGGCTTTAACTTTTTTATGGCATACAATGTAGTCATTTAGATTACCTTTAAAATCTTAAAACTAAAAATACTTTAATATAATTATGCATATTTAGAAAAGCCATTTGTAATATACAATTGTTTCATATATTAAAATTTGAAAAAAAAAAATTATCAAAAGTGACCGACTTTAAAAAATGATAATCATTTAATACTCGATCTGTCCCAAATATGATTACAAATTGAAATTTACGAGACAAAATCTTCCATATTTTAAAAATCATTTTCTTCACAAATTGGTTTATCGATGAAAATTACATATTAAAATACTACGTTAAAATTCTACTCCCTCCGTCCCAATTTAAATCGTCTGTTTTGACTTTTGGGCATATTTAAGAAAAATAAAAAATAGAGTTGATTTTTCAAAATTGACATTACTTTTTAAGATGGGTGATGATGAATGAGAAGATAAGGTGAAGAAGTGTGACTTATTTTAAGGGTAGTTTAGGTATTTTATTTTTAAAAGTTTACGAAAACAACTAACAGACAACTTATTTTGGGACGGAGAAAAAAGGCAAACAAGCAATTTAAAATGGGACGGAGGGAGTACAAAAGAAGAGGTGACAATAATATTATATTTTATCAAATAATTAATGAAAACACATACATAAACAAAAATTATCAAGAGAAAAGAGAAAAAAGTTGTAATTAAAATTAGGACGGATGGATTATCAAATTTAAATATTTCAATATTGTGTTACGTTGTGACAAAGAATTGAGGACAAACGAAAAAAAGAGAGAAAAAAAATAATAAAGAATTGAGGACATAAACAAAAAGAATAATTTGGTTAATTTAGTTTTTTTTTCTAATATTGAAATATTTAAATTCTAAAAAAGTTGGATTTCTCTTTTTTTTTTTTTTGACAAACGAAAAAAGATGTCGAATATTATCACATAAAAAATGGAGTAAATTTAGGTACTCCGTGAGTTTAAATGATAACCCATTCAAGTTTTCCTTTAAAAAGCTGTAGGGTGTCCTGGTCAAATTGACTGATTATGGAGTTCAGAAAATAACAAGACACCTCTCGTATACTCTTAAAAAAAGATTTAATGTGAAGGTGGCAAGTAAATATTTACTCCTTCCCTTTCATAAGACAGCCCCTTTTATTTTTTTCGTTCTCTCTAGAGAATAAGTAATATATTTAAATTAATTTGTTGCAATAAATTTCATTCAATTTGTATTGATATCATAAGTCATTTAAATGATTTATAATTTTTTCTTTCGATAATAAAGATATAATTAAAATATCAAATTACAAAAATAAATTCTTTTCAAGTCAAAACAAGAATCAATTTTAGAAATAGAGGGAGTACTATTCTATGCCCTAATAAACGCTTTTTTTTCTTTTCAGAATCTTATACAAAAAGAGATTTAGACTCCGTTTTGTTACACGAAATTGACGAAATTGAAATTAAATTAAGAATAGAAATTCTACGGAATTGATTTGAATGAAATTGAATTCTTCAGTTCCGATTCATTTCTGGCACTGTCAATTCCAAAACTACATATTTTTGTGGTAACAAATAGTAGAATTAGAATTGTTGTCTCTAATTATAATTTCATTGTTTGAATTTCATGTACTAAACGGAATCTTACTTCTTATTAAAAATATTTATAAAAAATAATACTCCGTATAATGTAGCCCTTATTAGATCTATTGAAAAATTATTGGAAGGTGTAACTCTCCTAGATTGCGTGGTGGTATAAATACAAGGGTTCGATGAATTAGATTCACAAATTAACCAACTAACCAACCAACCCGTATAGTAGGATACTTGTTTTGTTAATTCACAAAGAAATGCATAATTAATGTCCACTCTTATCATGGCATCACTTAAATCTGCCTTGCTAACTCCTTTGTACAATTTCATCCATAAAGATTTTCACAAGACCGTTGACCGGATGACCGTTCTCGACAAGCTTCTCTTCTTCGTAAGCCTTTCCTTAGATTATGTTTTATTTGTGTGATCACTTTTTTAAAGGTTGTTTCTTGAGAAAAATGATTAAACTATAAATAAAATGTGGAGAAAGTAAGGAAATAGAAATTCCGTGCTGTACAATCATGGCGGGTAAATTTCACAAATGGTACTTGAACTTTAGCTGGAATTTCGAAGTGGTACCTGAACTTCAAATCCTTTCACAAAAATCCCTGAACTTACACAATCCTTTTACTAATGAGCCATTAGCCCGTTTCTAGGTTAACTTCCGGTCATTAGGGCCAAATTCGAATTTTATATATTTTAAAATTTTCAATTTGACCCCATTTCTTCTTTTCTTTTCTTCCACGCCCCGCCGCCGCCGCCCGCCGGTCAAAGTCGCCGGAAAATGAACTTTTTCCGATTCCGGCGGGACCAATGTCATTCTCTTCGTCTTGAGACGAGGATCAATAATATCCAAACCATTTTGTCTAATTTGGCCTGTAACTTCTCGAATCTGAATTTTTCTACTAAAAAAAACCCTAAAATTCGAAATTGGATCCAAAATTGGGGGTTTTGCAAATCTTCATCAAATCTTGCAATTGAGGGGTCCTTGGAGGTCGCCCGGATGCCACGACCGCATTGGAGTTGGTGCCCGCCGTCAATTGAATCCCATGGAACTTTAATTCTAATTCAATTCCAATTCCATCAAATCCGTGTACCAAAAATGCATTTTAATTTTTATTTCAGGAATAAAAACACGGAATTCTTGTTTTGATAATTTCTCTATATTTTACTCTCTTTTACCCTATTTTTTTATTGTTTGGCAAATACGGTAATTAAATTAGGGGATTCATATTGTGGACAAGCTGGGGATATGGCACAAATTGCCGGTGTTCTTAGGGCTGATATACTTGGGCATCCGGCGACACCTTAACCAAGAATACAACTTGTTCAACGTTGGGAAAACGCCCGCCGGAGTCCGGTTTGATCCGGCGAATTACCCTTACCGGACGTCCGACGGCAAGTACAATGATCCCTTCAACGAAGGCACGGGGGAAGAGCTTTCCTTCTTCGGCCGGAACCTCCTCCCGGCGGCCGGCCATGAAAGAACGAAGCCCCACCCTGCGGTGGTGGCGGCGAAGCTATTGGCGCGGAGGAATAGCGTGGTGATCGACACAGGGAAGCAGTTCAACGTGATCGCCGCCGCGTGGATACAGTTCATGATCCACGACTGGATGGACCACCTGGAGGACACGGCGGCGGAGGTGGAGGAGCTGGTGGCCCCGGCAGAAGTGGCCGGTCAATGCCCTCTCAAGTCTTTCAAGTTCTACAAGTCAAAGGAGGAACCCACTGGCTTCTATGAGATCAAGACCGGTTTTAGAAACCGGCGAACGCCGTGGTGGTAAGTGTCTGCGATCCTCTCCCACTTTGACTTATACTTAGAGATGACAATTCGGTCGGTGAAGTCGAGTTCGGTTCAATCACTTTGAATTCAGGTTATTTCAGGTTCAAGTCAATTCGTGTTTGGGTTGAGAAATGTAAGTTTATGACCTAGTGTAATCAGGTTCGAATTGACATAACGAGTTATGAGTTTGATTAATCATTATAAATAAGGTGATTAAATAGAAAAAAATACCCGAAAAAAATAAGGATGAGCCGGATAATACTCGATTTATCAATTAAATAAAAAATTCAAGCTTATGGTTATACGCGATAAAGCGTACGTCTTATACTGATCTGATACCATTATTTCTCGATCTAATTGCATATATTTTTGATGTAATGAAAGGGATGGAAGTTCTATATACGGCAGCAATAGCAGCGTATTGGAGAGAGTGAGAACACTGAAAGATGGAAAGCTTAAGATAGGGGAAAAAGACGGTCTTCTCCTCCAAGACAAAGATGGCAACGTCATAACCGGAGATGCGCGTAATACTTGGGCTGGTGTCTTGGCACTACAATCCCTCTTTGTTTTGGAGCATAATGCTGTTTGCGATGCCTTAAAGGTGACATATTTTTACGCGTTCCAAAAAAACACTTCTGTTTACATTTATAATGTCTTAGATTCACCCCATTTCTCCTTTATTATGGTTTTACGGGTAGAAGTTGTTTTGGGTGTATTTTAAACATTAAGCTAAGATAGAAGTGTTTTACGCGACGCATAAAAAATGAAACAGGAATATTTATAATTGGTACATTTGATCATAACTTATTGTACTGTGATCTTTTGTTGGATGATGGTTCAGAAAGAATATCCAACGATGGAGGACGAAGAGTTGTACCGCCATGCGAGGCTGGTGACATCTGCAGTTATAGCAAAGGTCCACACCATTGATTGGACGGTGGAGTTGCTAAAGACCGATACGTTGCGGGCGGGAATGCGCGCAAATTGGTATGGTTTGTTGGGGAAGAAGTTTAAGGACAGGTTTGGGCATTTGGGATGGTATGTCTTGAGTGGGTTGGTGGGGATGAAGAAGCCAAAAAACCATGGTGTCCCATACTCGTTAACGGAAGAATTCACGAGTGTTTATAGAATGCATCAGCTCCTCCCCGAAACGATCTCACTCAGGAACATCGATGTCGCGCCTGGAACGAACAAGTCTCCTCTTGTGTCTCGAGAGTACGTAGCACTTAATTATATATAACGAATTCACAAGATCTGATTTGTTGGTATAAAATTAACAATGTTGCTGATTGTAGGGTTCACATGGTGGATTTGATTGGGCGTAGAGGGGAAGAATCATTGTCGACGATTGGATTTACACGACATATGGTGTCGATGGGTCACCAATCCTGTGGGGCACTCGAACTCTGGAACTATCCTTGCTGGATGAGGGATCTCGTGCCCCAAGACCCCGACGGAACTGAAAGACCAAACCATGTTGACCTTCCAGCTCTCGAGGGTAAATAATACTACCTCTCGAGGGTAAATAATACTACCTCTGTCCCATGTATAATTCTGATATTATTTCTAACATTGCCCAAACTTTATAATAAATTTGAATATGATGTGTAGACCAGATGAGTAAAAACTAGAAAATAATATCAAAGTAACCCATTGTACAGTGTACAGGGATCGGGAGAGGAGTGTGGCCAGATACAACGACTTCCGGCGGGGGTTGCTCTTGATTCCCATATCTAAATGGGAAGACCTAACGGACGACGAGGAAGCCATAGCCACACTTGAGGAAGTGTACGGTGGCGGCGTGGAAGAACTAGACCTTCAAGTTGGTCTAATGGCGGAGAAAAAGATCAAGGGCTTCGCCATAAGCGAAACCGCTTTCGTCATCTTCCTCGTCATGGCTACGAGGAGGATAGAGGCGGACAGGTTCTTCACGAGCAATTATAATGAAGAAACGTACACCGAGAGAGGACTGCGATGGGTTGATGCGACGGAGAGCCTCAAGGACGTGCTGGACCGGCACTACCCGGAGATGACCCGGAAATGGATGAATTCAACCAGCGCTTTCTCTGTGTGGGATTCGTCTCCTGATGAACCCCACAGTTGCTTTCCTATCTACTTTCGTCTCCCTCGTTAAACCCAACTTTAAATAAGTGCATTTTAATTTGTATCTTGAGTTTTAAGGATATTTTAAGGATTTTGAGTGTTTTGATGGTTGATATGTGTTTGTATTTGAATGTGTTTTTAATGTTCCACGGTCACCATATTTGGTTAGTTGTAGAGCGATTTTGCTTGCTTGTTTTAGTAATTGGAACTAACTTTAAGCGTTGAATATATTTTCGATTGGTGTTCTGGAACGGTTTATTTGATCCTTGGGTTATTTGTAAAAAGAGAAAGAAAAAAAATCAAATTTGATTATGTGAATAGTAAATATGCAATTTAATTTAGAACAGACGGGGTACGTCATAGGCAAAGTTCACTAACTTGTAAGTTAAAAACGGTTCATAAACAATTTTTACCAACTTAAAAGTATAATGAAACATTCACTGCATTCTAAATTTACCAAATACATAGAATCATTTTGGGATAAAGTTGATTTAAAAATTATTTTTGTAACAGAATGCCAAACACCCTCTTATTTGCAGATAGCAAATGGATTAGACGCTTAATGGTGAGGGAGGAATGAAATGACAAAGGAAATTAGGAAAAGTGGATAGATAAGTAGAATCGAACTTTATTTGAGCCAAAATCTGATCTATTATTATTCCTATCTTTCGGCCATCAGCCCACTGTCGACATAAGGTAGGCCAATTGAGAAACTACGGCCCAATACTACCAGGCTTTAATATTATTCATTACCATCTACACGGCCCACAGGGAAACAGCCTGGACTCGGTAACCGCCGCTTCTCCGTGAATCTCGAGGAAACCCCGATGGATACGACGGCGGCCTACTCTGCGGCGTAGAGGAAGGCCGCCAGGCCCGAAACCGGCTCAGAATTAAGCTTCTACAAATCGAAACACTGCAATCCGGCTAGCTCCGACGCGTTTCTCTTCTGCACGATTCTAGGGTTCCCGATGACCGGAAAACTGAATTCCGACGGTACACTCGTTATCAAACACTAATACAGCATATGTGTATTCTTCTTATGAATCCTTTTGCAGTAATCGCTCGTTATTGAACCCTAATTCGCATTTTTTTGTTATCAATGTAAGAAAATCAGTTGGTGATTGGTGTGAAAAATGAATGAAACTGAGCATCTAAGCACTGTTACTGGTAATGGTGCGTTATTAGATACTAATGAAGTTCATAGTTAATGGGATAAGTTAGGATTTTGTAACTGTGCTAAGCATTGCCATGTTCTTGCTATTATAATATTTAGGTCTCATTTATGGCTTCTCTCATCACTTATATTTAATGCTTTTTTTTATCATTTCCTTTTGTTTGCAATTGGAGTATGGCCATGTGAAGGAACTGTCTTCTGGACTGTAATCTTGATGCTTTTTTTTAAGAATATGATGTGGATGGGAAGCTTATTCTTACACTTCCATTTGTATGAAATCTCTCCATGTTCTTCGGACAATGCTAGGGGTATACTAAAATGGAATACGTCACTTGTACAACAATCAAAAACAGACACATAGACACTCAATGTTTGTGCGAGTACAGACACTGTATGTTTCTGCTTGGTGTGCAAATTGGATACCCCATCTTGGCGTACACCTAGTATTATTGTCTTATTGATGTTTTTATGGCTAATATTTCGAGACCATTGTCAACTCATACATCCTCTCTAAGTCTGCGCCACAAAGTTTTCTACTCTTCCTTTCTGAATGGTCCGAAAGAAATTTCAACTTACCTTATTATCTTTAAAAAATGAACATAACGCTTACAAGTTTTTTTCTCATCCAATCACGCGATTTTCACTGTTCAACGCGTTTTCTTAAATGAAGAGTTTTTTTAAATAGGACAGAAGGACTATTTATCAACTTGCAATGGTTATGGTTTCACATGTTTGGGTTAGTTATTTGGTCCTTTGATTTGAGAGCTGCTGTCTTTCTGTTTTAGTTGTTATGATTGTACATGGGTTGATCATTGAAGGAGCAGCTTGGTGATACTTGTGTATTTTGGATAGGGATATTATCCTAGTATTACTTATCCAAATGCAAAGTATATTTGATAAAGACTTTATGTTTCTTTGTTGTCTTTAATTTGTGCTTCATTATTTGCCAAAACTGCAACCTTTGATTGGCCATTGTTTGTTACTATTTGCACATTTGCTGACAAAACTAAAGAAAATGAGAGGGGGGAAGGAAAACAAATGCTCAAGAAAATGTTTAGTTTTGGCATGGAGAATAGGAAGGGAAAAGGAGAAGAATTGGTTAGAATTTTTAAAGTGATATGTTACATATATTTTGGGCTGGTTGGGCATTGTGTTTTTTGCTTTTTGTTTTCTGTTCTCTCTCCATTCTCCAAAACTGTACACTCTCTTTGATTCAAAGAATTTGGAGGGAAAAAGTGAATAAAATGATTAAGGAAAAGCAGAATTTGTATTTGCTTAGAAAGGAACAAGAAAAGAAATTTGGGAGGAAAAGAAAGAGTGGAGGAAAATGCATTCCCTCTCTTTATATTTAATCTTGTCGTTTGCTTTTTACATATAGTGTATAAGAAAAGTGAAATTCTATGGTTAAAATTTATATAGATAATAGAAAATTTATGTGAATAAAAATAGTTGAATGAAAATATACTTTCAAAAGAAAAAGATACAATATACTTTTTTTTAAAACAAATACAATATACTTCGTAGTAGAGTATATAAATAAATCATAGAGTAATTACTTTTGTGCTGGAAGTGCTAATTAAACCGACAAGGGATGCTTGATTTGGATGTGCATGGTTTAAGGTGAGTAGTCATTATCTTGGTCTGCCCCATATGATTTAATTATTGATGTTACATTAGAGTTTGTCAGATTGGGAGGGAAAGTTAGATGTGTGGTCTACCAAATCTCACGTTCCAAAAATGTTATCGCCCTGCTAGGCGTTGCGCAGTTGGCGAAGGCAAAGAGTGTCAAGGGAGTAAGACTCAAGTTCGATTTCTGGTACTGCATTGGGTTGCAACTATGCTGGCAACCCGAGTTCAAGTTCACTTCCTGGCAAATATCATTTTCAGGTTTTACTCTTTACCAATCAATCTGCGATCAAAGTCTAATTTACTTTCTCAGTAATCGTTCGGCTAGGTGTGAAGGGCCTTCGGGGATGAGACTCATCTAAAAATATTATCTCATTCTCCAGATGTCGTCACATAACACAATGGTAAAGTGCGACGTTATTTTTGTACCATGTGACGACATCTGAATGAAGGAATATCATTTCTCGGACACCTACCCTACATAGCTACTCGCTAGGTGAGTTAATGATTGTTAAAATGTGATTAACAAATTGATACGTACATAAACATGTGATAACGTAGGGAAGATTCTCAATTAATGATGCATATATTTAGAGACTAATTATTAGTTATTAGATGCATGAAGTGGGGTTTGGTAAACAATATTTTCATGAGCAGTATGCTCTCATTTGTAGTACTCCGTAGTTAGTATTTTGTGAATAAAAGAGCATATTCCATTGAGTTAATATTATCTTTGTTTCTGAATATTTGTTCAGTTTTACTTTTTTATAGTTAATTATTTTCAATCTTTGACCTATAATTATATAAAATATATTAATTAGTAAAATAAGATTTTGAGAATATTTTAGACTCCCTCCGTCCATAAATAAACTTTACGTTACGCGTTACGATGTTTGACCGAAGTTATTTTTAAATCATTTTATATGAAAAACGGTGTGAAACTTTAAAATAAAAATCACATATTAAAAAACTATATCAAAAGATCTACAAAACTAGAGGTGACATGACTATATTATTTTATCAAATGGGTAACGAAAATAGGCCAACAAAGTGAATAAAGTTTGACCCTGTGAATAGTAAACGTAAAGTTTATTTGTGGACGGAAGGAGTATAATAGATCTAATAAAACTATTTTGTATTAATGTTTAATATCATTTTTATTTAATTTGAGGTTACAATTTATGAATTTTGATTGTAAAAGTCAAAAGTAGATAAATACTCATATACCCAAGATAGTGTTAATTTTGGTTTCTCTAAATATACATGTGAGCCAATTTGCTTTAAGTTTGTTGCCTTGAGTCAAATTGATCATTATAGTTAAAAAAAGTACTTCCTCCGTCCCAATTTATAGTGTCTGTTAACTATTCACATGATCAATCTTTATTCACTTTCTTTTTCTCTTTTCATTAGCAATTTGATAAAATAAAGTACTATACTATTGTCACTACTAATTTTGTAGATTTTTTAATGTAGTATTTTAATATGTAATTTTTATTTTTTAACTCTATACCATTTGTCATATAAAATTATTTGAAAATAATTCCAGTCAAACATTGTAAATTGAAACAGGCACTATAAATTGGGACGGAGCGAGTATATCAAATTAGTCCATTTAACAATATATATATATTGATCGTGTTATTGAAAAATCAAAAGTGCATTTTTATGAAAAAATAAAAGTGCATTTTTATGAAAAAATAAATAAAAACTACAGAAAATTAATTAATAAAATCTAAAAAATGTTCGGGAAAAGTTAACGATTAATAACTTAATCGAATATCAATTTTTTTAAATTCATCTACAAAGTATTAAAGTTAAAGTAATACTCAAAACTAAAATCTAACTTTTAAAATAAACTTATTGCTTTATTACTTAATGAGAAAAACGTAAAAAGATTATTATATCTCTACCACAGGTTAAATATGTTCAGTTTGAAATTTTCAAACTACCTCTTACCCCTTCCAATTAGGACCTTACAAATCAATTTGATTTTTTGTACTCATAATTTTTCTTTTTTGTTTATTCTATTTTATTTCGAGATCGTTTTCCTTGACGTGAGGGGAGAATATAAATACTCGTCCTTAACCGTAACAAGACTCCGTAGAAATGAGTGGGCACAGCGAGGGGTGGGGTAGGGAGCCACATGGGGAGAGGGATGAACATGGACCTGTCTAACGAAGGCCCATTAGAATGACACAACCGCATGTGTGGGCCGTCTCGTCCGCCCGATTGCTGTGTGGTCGCTAGGTTGCATTGGGTGGCCCACAGCCCATTCGGTTTTCTGTTTTACCTGTAATTAACTGTTCACTTTGCCCTAATTTTGAAAAGGTAAAAAAGGTAAATTAATTTGTAGTCATTTAGTGCATGTTTAATCTATGGACCTTTATGTATTGGCATTTGTAGTCATGAAATATGTGAAATACTCACTCCGTCCTATATCTTTCTTCTCGTTGCGCAAAACGAAGAAAAATCCCAAGTTTTTTCAATCTATTTTATTTAAATATTGGTATAGAAATAAAAAATAAAACATATATATTTAAAAACTACATCAAAAGTTCAACAAAACAAGTGGTGACAAGAATATTTTATTTTATCATATAGGCCATGAAAAAACACAAATAAATATAAATTTCCGCGAAGTTGGAATAGTGCTCTGGGAAGAAAGTTTTAGGACAGAGAGAGTAGTTTACATCTTAAATGTGGACTTTAAAACTACAATAGCACAACTTTTTGAAATATATTTTTAAAATCTTATAGTTTTTATAATACATATTTATATATAAAGAAAGATATTAATGATCAAAATACTATATTGGAGACTGAAAATTCAAATGAAAAACAATTATGAAAGAATTGTTACCCAGTATAAGAATATGCATTCATTTTTCTTTACATGCATCTTATGTCTAGGAGCATGACTATACGATCGAGTTAACACAAAAAAAATATGACTAGACGAGTATGATTTTATAGAGATTCTTTATTTGTCTTGATGTGTGTGTGCATGCCCCATACACTGATACACGCACGCAATTTCTATGTTATATGGAACTAATTTGTACTACTTACTACCTCCGTCCCAGAGTATTTGTTCACTTTCATTTTTGCACACCATCCAATACACTTCTTTAATCCATTTTATCTTGTAATTTGTATATTAAAAAATTATAGAAATTATATATTAATAATCTATATGTTAAGACAAATCAAACAAGATCACACTTGACTATATTTAGGCTTACACATTGAGAGAATTTGATGAGTCAAAGTGCTTAGATGAACAGTTCCAAAATTCAAAAGTGGACGAATATAGCGGGACGGAGGGAGTATTTGTTTATTCTTATCAGAATTAGATCAAATCATATCAATTACGATTAGATCAGATTAGATCCAATCAAATCAGATCAGAGTTACTCAGATTAGATTAAATCATTCTTACAAAATTTAGTTCAGATTAGTCGAAGAGAGTGCAGCCTAAGACATTTTTGAAATAATTCAAAGCTCAACTTTATACATACACTTCGGATCAAGTGAGAATGTGATCTAATGAAATAAATAAGATTGCATCTCGTGCATTAGATGTAAGATCTAAGGGCTTGGAAAACTCAAAAAAACAGAAAGAATATGAAAAACCCCGGTGGTAATATGATAAATAAGTTGAAATTTATAATCGAATGTGAATTAATATAATATGCATTCGATACTTGACAATGCGACTATAACACCCAAACTCGCGTAACACGAATAAATAAGTTAGCGAACCGGGTTGTTACTAAAATGGTAACCAAACACAATTTGTTATTAAAAACAATTTTAAACAAATACCTAAAAATATAATTTCAAACATATCATCTCCTTGCCCTCAATGTTTTCTAGGATTAGCTTCGGCTTCAATCTGATCCTGATTACCTACGTGCAGCAAAAGAACAAACACCATGTGCTCAGCATTGAAGCTAAGTGAGAAATATCTAATATTCAGTTATACATACAGATGACCCCACTAGTTCATAACTTCACACGATATCATGCACACAAGTTCATCGGGAATATCAACATAAAAACATTCCAACCATAAACAACCTCAATAATATGAATATTATATTCTTGTTACTTTAGTCACTAACTTACTTGGCTCTTAACCTATTCTGGGTTTAAGCATATATTGATTCTGACTTTCATATAAGAGTCATGACCTTCTCCTTCAGAACGAAGATTAAGCTCAACCAACTCGAGAGTTCCTCTTTGGGCGAGTGAGATCCTTGTCACCTTCGGAACGACAGTTCATAGATTCCCGTGCGTACGTTTGTACTCAAATAGCCATTGGACTCAGCAGGTTCCACATAACTCTAATCTTTCAATAATTATGTTATATCTTGCCTTTATTCCTTTCATGTCAAATCCAAGAGTTCTTCTAGGTTTATATGCTTTTCTAATGTCATACTACATTCACAAGTGCATATCTTATCAGATAAGCATAATTACATCCAACGTAAATAACACCATCAAACATCGGCCTAGTGCTGGGTGTGAACATCCATACTTACCGCCGTGCAACATACAAGGCCTTGGAACAAGTCATCAATGCAAAAACAAACTTAAGAATAAACTTTGGGTTCCACGCGGTACCTCGTCCGGTACTGGGGTACTCGTACGGTACCTGGGTACTGTCCAGGCAGTACCTGGTCCTGGCTAGGACAGAGTCCGCCAGCACCAAATGGCTTGTGACATTAGCCAACTATCGTCCTGGCGGCATGGCCTACCTTCCATCCGGTACCTAGGTACCGGACGGGTGTAGGTTCTGGTAAAGCGGAAAGGCCTCAGGCGGTATCGAGGTACCGGTCAGTTGGTACATAGGTATCGTCTAACACGAAACTTACCTGTTAACGTAGCAGCGCCGTTTCCAGCATCATCCAACATCCAATTTCGAAAGTTTCAGCATAAATACATTCATAAACCAATTCCTAATTATACCTAACCTTACCATATAGAAATATAACTCATTCGTACACACAATCACAAATTCCAACAAAACTTCTAAAAATAGATTTTCACTTATATCAAACCTAATGATCACACGAATGTAAGATTCAAACATATAGGCATAACCTAGTGTTAGAGGTCCACGTAGTCACCTCAAACTTATTGAAAGAAAGCTACGGAGATTGAACTAACGTACGACGGTGAGCGGTCTTCCTTTTCCCCTTCCTTTTTCTTTCTTTCTTTTTTGGCTTTCTTCCTCTGCTCTCGCTACTTCTGCACCGTGCGTCTCTGTCCGGCAACCAGAACAGGAGTGAGAGAGAGGCGTGAGTTTGGCGGCAATAGGAGGGATTTAGGTGCATAGGGTTATATCTGTCAGTTTGGACTTTTGGACTCCGTAATTAAGCAGTGTATCTGGATTAAAATATACTTTTCGGGCCAACTTGCTTCGAATTCAAATCTGTTTTCACCGTTGGACTCGTCTCGTCGAACCCTACACAACGGTATAATCTTTATATTTTATCAACGAATATCTAAATTGAACTTCAGGTATGTCTCAATAATTAATTAATTCTGATAGGCCAGACTTCGAGGCGTTACATCGACAAATGTGAATACTGATATTTGAATAATAATAATAACAATAATAATAATAATTACTTCCTCCGTCCCCCTGTATTTGTCCACTTTCATTTTTACACACCATCCAATGCACTTCTTTAATCAATTTTATCTTGTAATTTGTATATTAAAAAATTATAAAAAAAAATTAATAACCTATATGGTAAGACAAATCAAACAAGATCACACATGACTATATTTAGACTTACACATTGAGAGGATTTGATGAGTCAAAGTGCTAAGATGAACAGTTCCAAAAGTCAAATGTGGACAAATACAGGGGGACGGAGGGAGTATTATTGTTGATGTTGTTACTCCGAATTATATATTCGGAAAAATTCACACCATTACTCCCGAAGTTTCTCAATTTCACATAAAAATTCCGAGATTCAATAAATGACACAGATATACTCCTCGAATTTTAACATGTTTATGACGGTGCTCCTAGAGTTGTTATATGTTTATCTCTTTGCTCCAAGTGTTGGGGCACCAATGTATATTTATGTCAATGTTGGAGCACTAATGTAAACATATGAAAGTTCTGGGAGCATCGGTGTTATTTATTGAATTTTATAGTATTTAAATGAAATTGGGAAATTTTAGAAGTATGGTGTGAATTTATCCTATATATTATTATTGTTGTTGTTATTGTTGTTTTTATTGGTGTTATCACCATCATTATTAACAGTGAAATTTGTACTGAATAGGACTAAAACATAAGTCATTTCCTAATGTAGGACTTAAACTTTTTTATTCCCTAAATATGACTTAATAATGACTAGTGAGAATAATAATGTCCTAGTGATGTTGGACATTTAGTTAAATAATGACTAATAGATAATGGCCAATACTCCTACATTGGAAAATAAAAACATATGGTCCTATTTATCTAAATAGGACTAAAACATACTCCCTCCGTCCGGAAATATTCTTCCCATTTTCCTTTTTGGTCCGTCCGGAAATATTCTTCCCATTTCCTTCTTTAGTATACTTTTTAAGGATAAATTTCAATAATATTCTTCTATTTTATCACTAATATACTTTTTTAGCACTTTTTTTAATAAGAAAAGGAGATTTAAAAGTTTATAGTATGTGTATTTTTAAAAATTTTGCATTTTTTTGCTATTCCTTAATAAGCGTGCTAAGTCAACACGAGGAAAATATTTCCGGACGGAGGGAGTAATGACTTTGAGAAAGTTATTATGTTTTCGTCCTATTTAGATAAATTACCCTTATTAATACTCTTATTATTATTATTTCATATTTTATTCATTTCTACCACCGTCTACCTTGCTCAAAGTGGGATCCATTTTCCTCTCTCAAAAGATTTACTTGTCCTTTAGCTTGAAAAAAAATTTGCTCAAATGATATGGGAATGGGATAACCTTTGGGGTCAAAAAAGAAAACATGGGGTGGTCCATTGCCAGTAGACAAAAACATAATCCAGTTCTGTGTTCTGATATATTTATGGAACTTCATTATACGAGTATCATTTGATTCATTTTATACCAGGGATCGGAGGATTAATAATATTATAATGTTTAAACATGAAATTAGGGTTCTTTGTATCCCATCATGCATCATGCTTGGAATCTTAATCATCCTTAACTCTCTATTATATTTCATCCCCACCTAACTTTGTTTAGCTCTTTTCAATAATTGTTTTTTATGATATGATCATACTCACTTCCTCCCTAGTTATGGGTTGAACCGGTTGAACCGGGTCAACGACTAGCCTTATCAATACTTAATTATTCCTACTACTTGATCTGTTTTAAACATGGACTAGTGCACTACTCATATATAAATTCAAGAGTAAGTTCTATAATTGATCTTTTATAACATGAAATTTTGCTTACTAAATCTTTTATTATCAAATATTACGCCCCTATTTTTATGAGTACCATTCAACATATATTTATTTCTAACTTCTGTCATGTTATTGTTAATTTGAAGGCTATGCGTGTAATTGTACATTGATTTAATGTCCAATAACGTATCCTAATATCAATTGGACGAATAATACAATAATAATGACTATGGTTGTGGACCAAGATTCTGACCAGAGACAACGTCCGTAGATTATGTTTGTAACAGACAGCAACTCTAGTTGACGAACGATACATATATCAGTAGCGACCTCTTGCATTGGGTAAGACAACATGAAATATTTATGATCATTATGAAATTATATTTTTAACCCTCAAATTAACCCCCAACATGATAGAAAGTAAAAAAAGAACTATTCATGGAAAGGTACCATAAAATAATGACTTCGTGCATGATATTTAATATTAGAGGATTAAATATGGAAAATTCTCTCTTATAAAGGACAAATTATAGAATTTATTCTAAATACGACGATATTTAGGATTTGCTAAGAATATTTTATTTTATCATATCATCAACAAAAATACACAAACAAAAAAGTGTTATTGAAAGTTATAATAGTAACTTTGATGATCTTTTTGACACGAAAAGAGCATACATGAGTAGGGGTGAGCATGGTACGGGGTGATATGGTATTTAGCTCGTACCGATACCATACCAAATATTTTGGTTCGGTATGGGATTTATACCGTACCGACCCCGATCCCGGAATATCAGTTCGATATATATGGTTCGGTTTCGATACAAATCGAGATGAATATACATACCTACTTTACACCTTAAAATTCAACAATGTCCCTTTATTTTTGAAAATTGAAAGTGAATTTAAATAAAAAACATTAGAAAATTAAAAAAAATGAATATTTAAATGCAAGAGATGCGTATCAAAACTTAGTTTATATTTCACAAACTAAAAAATGAATGATAACAAAGGAGTATTTCGAATCTTTGTGAATATTTTTATGTTCATATACAAAAACTAAAACTGATATAAAATTATAATTTACACATAATAGAATTTGAACCAAATTTTGAAAATAAATTTATTATTTAGTGAAGAAATATAAAAATATTACTTCAGGGTATTATTTTTTATAATATTTTAGTATATATGTTCGGTTTGGAATTTTCGATATGGGACGTCACCCCGTACCATTCCCATATACCGTATCGACCATTCGGTTTGGTACGATTCAATTCCTAGCCTTCTCGGTACTTTTTTTGTGATTCACGCTCACTCTTGTTTTTATTTGTCTTTTAATATAAATTACAGAATTTTTTTATTAATACATGACACTAAACTATGATTCAAAAATTATGAAAAAAAAGTTTTTCAGAGTACTTCTTATTAAACTAAATTGATATATATGGGGAAAAAATATTTTAAACTAAAAATAATAATTATATTACTCTGCATTACATTATGAAAAAAACAGCTTAAACATTGTGTAAAAACAATTTCAGATAACATAAAATATAAGTATTAATTAAAATAGAACTAATAAAATATTATTACATTATTTTTAAAAATCGTTTCTAGTTTTTTTTGCAATTTCTTACATTTTTCTCCAATTCCTTATTATTTATTCTAATTATATTATTTAGTTAATGACTATTAGACTCTTGAACTTATTTTCATATCTCGAGCGTTAATAAGAAATTATCAAAATTGGTATGAAACTTTATTATTACAATTTGTAGGTAGTGATTTAGTGAAGGGTTATTTCACGGATGTGGGTCTCGCAACGTGTGAGAGTTTTACCCTATTGGTGCTCTAAGAGCCCTTGCATCATCTGATTGTGTGTGTGTGTGTGACTTATCAAAGTCGAAATCTCATTTAGGATCTCTTCAACTCTGATTAGATATGAATATTTTAATTGGTATGGGGTTATAATATACTCCCTCCGTCCTAAAATTAACTTCTCATTTGACTTTTCACGGTCTCCAATGCGACACTTTGACCATCAATATCTCAATTTTTATATAAATATATTTTATAAAAATTATATATTTCAAAACTATATTCCAAAATGAATCTAATCCTAATAAATTTATATGAAAATTCAATGTATTTTTTTCTTAATTTACGGTCAAAATTTAAAAAGTTTGACTGCAAAAGTCAAACTGGGAAATTAATTTTAGGACGGAGGGAATAACACATTTTGTTTAATTCAGAAGTGTTTGATCAAAAATACAATCACTTTTTCTCTCTTTGAGGTACTGCGTCTTTGCCTTAATCGAAATACTTCCCCCATCCCTAAATATTTATCACAATTCTATTACTGAGGTAAAATATTAAATTTTCTAATTGATTTTATTTACATATTGATATGGAAATAACAAATAAAATTTATATATCAAAAAGCTACGTTAAAAATTCTTTGAAATAAAAGATATCAATAATATTTTATTTTATCAAATAACCAATGAAAACGTAGAAATAAATTAAAGTTCCTGCGACTACTGAAAAAGAAATGAGGCAAATATTTAGAAACGGGGGGGAGTAATATAGTACAGAGTAATATCACATCTTATTTTATACTCCCTCCGTCCCTGAAAACCTTTCTCCTTTCTTTTTTCATGCGTCCCAAAAAACACTTCTCATTTATATTAAAAAGTCACTTTTACTCCTTACTTTTTCATACCCTACCTATCACATCATACCTTTTTACTAATAATCTATCCATCAAATCATACTTTTACCCATCACATCAATGGACATTTTTGAAAATTCAATATCAAAATACACTCCCCTTAAATCTCTCTTCAAAATCAAAACTCTCATATTTTCTGGGACGGAGGGAATATAATTTATCATTTAGTTTTTAAATAAATAAATTTTATTTATAATTCTATCCTACTTTTAATATAAGTTTATTTGAAAATAGTTTCTGCTAAACTTTAATAACAACATACAATTTAAAATAGAACGAGAAAAATACATTAGCGAGATTAAAATGGCACCATAATCTTTGACGTGATTAAAATTCAACACTACACCTTTGTGGATAGAGTTTTTACTAGTGAAGTTACGCGGTCGGTATATATATACTCCCATTTCCAAAAAATTTGCCATAGTTTGATACTTTTAGTCATACTGTGACATCTTTTGACTACAAATTAAATATAGTTTAAAATTATTAAATATTAAAAAAGATTGATATTTCAAATTATATTTTAAAATAAACCTAATTTTATCAAATTTACACTATAATTAAATATTTTTTTCTGTAATTTACAATCAAAAAGTGTCACAATTTGACAAAAAATATCGCAATCTTTTAGACACCAAAAAAATATACTTCCTCCGTTTCTAAATAGATTACAATTTTTTTTCTCTCCTCTTGATAACTTTTGTTTGTTTACGCGATTTCATTAAGTATTTGATAAAATAAAATATTCTTGTCACCTGTTGTTTTGTAGAACTTTTGACGTAGTAATATGTAATTTTTATATCTTATTGATATACCAATTTGTAAATAAAATTATTTTAAAAAGTAAGAAATTTTTACTTCATAACCCGCATTTTGTTATCAAATTTGGGACGGAGACAATATAATTGTAAGTAAGTGTTTTGAGGGCCGAACATGTAAGACTATGGTTTGGCCTTTATTTATTTTTATATTTCATCTTTTGTCTGCAGACTATAAGTGGTTGTTGAATGACAGCAAATTCCACACAGCATTTTGCTTCCAAGAAACAACCAAGCAAGAATCATCAAATAATTCTTAATCCTAATTCCACCCCTTTTCTGAGTTTTCTCCACTACTAATACTTTGACTATTAGTCTGACCAATCAATCAACACCAAATTTTTCATTAATTCATCATTTTTGAGACTTTAAATTACCATCCTGCCCCTGGTTCTTTTTTTTTTTTAAATTACGAGAAAATAGATGTATATTTCACTTACCAAAATATGCTTTTTATAAAGTAACCAAAATGTTTGATTCTCTAGATTTGGCAAAAAGTTGAATCAAAACCAAGCAATAATAAGAACTCAATGTAATCCTATTTTCCTTACTAACTAATTAGGGTCAAAATCTATGCAGTTTTATCCTTGTAAAAAGTAAAAACTAGGTTGTTGATATACTTTTCCCCTCCAAATTACTTTTCTCACCTAGCTATTCAGAGACAATTTTTTTAAAAAATGTGTTTACTTATTTTTATTATTTATTCTTGAAATAACACAAAATCACATCTTATTTTCACAAAGAATTAGAAGCAAAAAAGTTAAGGAGTGTTATTATTAATTTTTTAATTCCAAGACGCCGAAAAACGAGTAATTTCCAGAAATTATTTAGAATAAAAAAATACATAAAGGCTGACACTTGAACTTCCTCTTTCTCTCTTTTTATTTAGTAGTACAGCTTCTGGTTATGCTCATTGAAGTATAGAAGCATATTCTCCCCCACCCCTCTCTCTCTATTTCTCTCCCTCTCATTCTCTATCTTTTCAGATTTGTCCCCAAGTTCTTTCCAGGTCCATAACCCATATTTTTTCTTTGAAATGCGTGCATTTATAAGAGGACCCAGATGAGTTTCTTCATGGTTTGACAGTGGGAGCTGTCCAAAGTTTGAATCTTTTTTTTTTTTTTGAGTTTCTTGGTGAAATCCCAAATCTGGGCAGCCATTATTAGTCTCTCTGGACTCTGGATCTCCACAAGAATGGCTCCCAGTTCTGTGGTGGTCACCATAGACAACTCCAACAAGAACATCTCCCTGGTCGAGATCAACGGCTCCAATTCTCCAGCCGCCTTTCGTGACCAGCTCAAAAAGTCGGCAAATCCGAAGACTTTCCTCGTTCTCAGAGCTCACAGAGCTCTCTCTTGCCTCCCATGGCTAGCCATGGCTCTGCGCTCAACCTTTTCTTCTGTCAAGAAACGCATCGCCTTGTCCAGAAGCCGGGGCGGCGGCGGCGATGGAGAAGATCCCAAACACCGGGGGAAGCTTCACAGGTTAATCAGAGCCTTTCTTGCCGTCTCCGTGGTGGCGTTGGTTCTGGAGATTCTAGCTTATTATAACCGGTGGAATTTCAGTCCCGGAGAGGTTCATAACATCCTTCAATGGAGTTATTTGTCTTGGATGTCTTTCAGAGCCGATTATATTGCCCCCTCCATTGTTGGGCTTTCCAAGTTCTGTACTGTTCTTTTCCTCATTCAATCCCTGGACCGTTTGACGCTTTGCTTGGGGTGTTTCTGGATTAAGTACAAGAAACTCAAGCCTGCAATTGATGAAGATTCATATGATCCAGAGGATTCCCAGAGCTTCCCCATGGTTCTTGTGCAGATTCCCATGTGCAATGAAAGAGAGGTAGAAATCAAGCATGCTAGACTTTATTTATGCATTATCACACTCTTTTTGCTGGTAAAAATTGAGAATTTGAGAAACCCTTTTGGTCTAAAATGATGGATTTGGGTAAAAAAAATTGATGGAATTTTGTCTGATTTTTAATTACTGTTCTAAGATTGTTGACTTTATTGGTAAAATTAAGAAAAAGTGGAGTTGAATCTGATTTGGAAATTCTTTTGTGGGAACTGTGCAAGGTCTTTGCGCAATCCATAGGAGCAGTGTGCAATTTGGATTGGCCCAAGGACCGGTTTCTGGTCCAGATTTTGGATGATTCAGATGATGAGGATCTGCAGCAGATGATCAAGAATGAAGTCTTGTCTTGGAAGGAGAAGGGAGTGAACATAGTGTACAGACATCGGTTGATCAGAACCGGTTACAAAGCAGGCAACCTCAACTCTGCGATGATGTGTGACTATGTCAAAGATTACGAGTTCGTCGCGATCTTTGATGCCGATTTCCAGCCCAACCCAGATTTCCTTAAACTGTCTGTTCCTCATTTTAAGGTACCAATCTAATTCTTGGACTTCATAAATGCCTTGTTTGGTAACAACGTTTTCAACTAAGTAGTGCCGATTAACTTTGTATTCGAGCGATATGAGATGACTAAACAGATTTCTTGGCATTCATTCTTCTTCTTCTCAGGGGAATCCAGAAGTAGGATTGGTTCAGGCAAGATGGTCCTTTGTGAACAAGGATGAGAATCTACTCACAAGGCTTCAATACATCAACTTGTGCTTCCATTTTGAGGTGGAGCAGCAAGTGAATGGCCATTTTCTCAACTTCTTCGGGTTCAATGGAACGGCTGGGGTGTGGAGGATCAAGGCCCTAGAGGAGTCAGGAGGATGGCTTGAGAGGACCACTGTGGAGGACATGGACATAGCGGTTAGGGCGCATTTGAACGGATGGAAGTTTGTGTTCTTGAACGATGTTAGGGCGTTGTGCGAGCTTCCTGAGTCTTATGAAGCTTACAAGAAGCAACAACACCGTTGGCACTCCGGTCCTATGCAACTCTTCCGGCTATGCCTCCCTGCCATTTTGACTTCCAAGGTAAAACTATCTTGTCTAGCACCTACAAGTTTGCGCTTTTGGTTGAGTTGGTTTCTTGATATGTTATCAAAACCTTGCTGACCTAGAGGTCGCATGAGGAGCGTGTTAGAGTCAAAAATGTTTTTTGGACATACAACTACAATCTTGAGCTTTTGGCTGACTTGATTCTTTGACACTAATGGAACCTAATTCAACACCAAAAGTGCTTCCGAGCTAACAATTCCTCCCTATGTCCCTAACACTATGTTTGGTTCAAAGAATTTGAGAGGGAAAAGAAAAGAAAATGAGAACGAAAACTTTTTTTCTTGTTTGGTTAGAGAGGAAAAGAAAAGAAAAGTGGAAGGAAAAGAAAATGAGAAAGCAAAATGTATTAAGAGGATGGAAAACCAAATTCCTCATTTTGGTGAGGAAATTAAGGGAAAACCATTTTCTTTTCTTTTCCTTCTAAATTCCATGAACCAAACATAGTGTAAAAGAACTTCCCGCTTTCCTTTTTCAGTTCTAATTAATTTCTCCCTTTTTTACCCTCATACAATTTCATTTTTTTCTTAAAACTCGGTGAAAAAGCAAACGAAAACTTCTTTTTAGGGACGAAGGGAGTATTATGGGGTCTTGTTGCAATCTATGCACCTAACTCTTGTATTATTATATGTTCTTGCAGATATCAATATGGAAGAAGGGCAATCTAATATTCCTCTTCTTCCTTCTAAGAAAATTGATCCTCCCCTTTTACTCATTTACCCTCTTCTGCATCATACTTCCCCTAACAATGTTCGTCCCAGAAGCCGAACTACCGGCATGGGTGATCTGTTACATCCCCATCACCATGTCCATCTTGAACATTCTCCCCTCGCCGAAATCCTTCCCCTTTCTGGTCCCATACCTCCTATTCGAAAACACAATGTCGGTCACGAAGTTCAATGCCATGGTCTCTGGGCTCTTTCAGCTAGGCAGTGCCTACGAATGGGTGGTCACCAAGAAGACCGGGCGGTCGTCCGAATCCGACCTGCTGGCTTTTGCAGAGAAAGAGTCCAAGAACCCGTCCGGGGAGAGAATCCAGAGGCGGTTATCCGAATCAGGCCTGGAAATGTATGGGAAACTGAAGGATCTCGACGTCCAAACGGAGATCGCGAAGAAGAAGAAGAAGAAGAGCAATAGGATTTATAGGAAGGAGTTGACTTTGGCTTTTCTGCTACTCACAGCAGCTGCAAGAAGCCTTTTGTCTGCTCAAGGGATACATTTCTATTACTTGCTGTTTCAAGGTTTGGCTTTTCTTGTGGTGGGATTGGACTTAATTGGAGAACAAGTGAGCTAAAGAAAATATGAAACATATAAAGAAAGAAAAAAAACAAAGGGTGGCCTCTTTAATTTGGTCCAACCTTTTTGCATTTTTTTTACTTCTTGGAGTCTACTGTGTTACAGTGAGTTGAACAGCAGATAGTTTTTTACAGGTGAATTTAAAGATGTAACATACTTATATATTCTTTCCTTTTTTTTACTTCTTTATTTTCCATTTGTGTAATTATATGTACTTTTACAATGTTATTATTATTATTCATAATAATAATGAATCATTTATTTCATGTATAGTTCATTTTTTGTTATCTGTTGGGAAAGTTGCAACATTTTGGTTATTTTGGTAACTTTTTTTTTTGAGTTGGATCAATGGTTTGGTTAAATGCAGAAGAGAAACATTCCCTTTCTTTTTTAGGTATGATGGAATGGTGTGTGTGTGTGTGTGTATGTATGTATGGAGTATATATGTATATATATGTATGTATGGATGTATATAATATTGAGATCTATTCATAACAAGATTGATCTGTAGAAGTATTCTAAACTCACTCTTGAAACACTTGAGATGCAATCGTATATTTACATTGCTTGAAGTTAATCTAGGTTCCATACATTTTCTCTTAATAGTACTTATTATTCATCCTGTTCTTTATAAGTTTGTAGAGCTCATAAGTTCCATTAATGGTTTCCAATACTTTTTATAATTGTTTGGATTCAAATACTCCGTAATAATTAAGAGTAAATTCTCAAAATGATCATTTTCAATAAAGCAATTTTCTAAATTAGTGCTTAATAAGTTTTAATTACATGCCTGATACTTTATAATTGATAATTACGGAGTATTTCTTAAATAATTTTTCGCAAAAAATGTTGCTTAGATAAAGATTAATTGGAGGTGTTTTGGCATTTCCATTATCAAAACTTAAATTAAATTCATAAAATGGTTATTTCTATACAATCTTAATAGAAGTATAAATTTAAAACAATTATTGACTTTACATAATCTATGAATTATTAAAAATCTCTCAAAATATTTTAAAATTTGAATCAAATTTACCTTCTTAGTTAGAAAAGACCATTTAAAAAACACTTCATTAGAAATGATCATTTTGAAAAATTATTCTAAGTTTAGATAAAAAATACTACTCCAAGAGTATTTGTCCACTTTCATTTTTACACACTATCCAATACACTTCTTTAATCTATTTTATCTTGTAATTTGTATATTAAAAAATTATAAAAATTATAAACTAATAATCTATATGTTAAGATAAATCAAACAAGATCACACATGACTATTTTTCGGCTTACACATTGAGAGAATTTGATGAGTCAAAATGCTTAGATGAACAGTTCCAAAAGTCAAAACTGGACGAATACTCCGGAACGGAGGGAGTATTTACTAAATCAATATTTAAGTGACATTTTCTACAAATGACTATCTAGAAAACAAATTTCAATTACTACGTATAAAATGCTACATAAATAATTATAACTTAATGAGAACTGTTTTTGAAAAATTCTTTTTTTAAAAGACCAGAATTTGCTCCAAAACTAATTTAGGAGATTGAGGAGGAGTTTTAACAGGCATAGTCTTACCTGCTGGGCTAACAGGATAAAAGCCCATAATTTGGGCGTGGTTTCGAACCGAAGTTCGGGCTCCAGGCCCAACCACCGCATTTGCTCCTAACCGCAATTCCGCAAATGTCGCTTTGTTGGCGGAGGAGGCCGCAGTCATCCTTGTCGCATTTCGCAGCGGAAAGACTTTTTCTTTAAACGCCGCTCGCCGCTCGCCGCCGACGACTTCAGGTTCACATTTTTCCCTATACTCAAACCGCCGAAGTCATTGCGCTACGGCACATCGACGCTCTCCAGAAATCAGTGCTTTTCAGAATTGTTCAGATCGAAATTCGATCAAAGCTCTGGACTTTGCGCCAGATTAGTACTAATTCTCTTCATTCCTATGAATTTCTTAAGCAGCGCTTGAAGTTCTCGCTAGAATTCTATTGTTTTTCGCTCCTGTAATCTGTGAAGTTGGAGGGTGATGTCGTTGTGGCAGAAGCAGCAACCGGTAGGAGATGAAAAGGACGCATTTTATGTTGTTCGTAAGGGAAATGTAATTGGAGTCTACAAAAGCTTAAGTGATCTGCAAGCCCTAATTCGGTCTTCCGTAAGCTCTCTGCTTCTTGTTTGATGTTTCTGAACTTTTGTCCAAAAAAAAGATTCTGATATGAGCAAAGGAGCTAATTTTCATCATGTTTAATGTTTTTTTATAGTAATGTATACAACTGGTGGGAAAAAGTTGGGTGTGTTAAATTTGGCTAAATCAACAAATAAGTTTTTAGACATAATCCGTTGCTATTTTTGATTATGTACTATTGTTGTAGCTTACTAAAATAAGAAGATGGTACTATATACTCTGTATTAATATTTCTAGATGAAGTCAGAGGTGGTGTGTTTCTAAACTTTCAGGTTGGAGATCCTTCTTTAAGTGTGTTTAAGGGGTATTTCCTGCGCAAAGAATCTGAAGAATACATTGCTTCTCGCGGGCTGAAAACTGCAATGTACTCTGTCGATGTTAAAGCTGTTCGAAATGATCTCTTTGGTTTACTTGTACCCTGCCCTTTCCGGGTTCGACACTTAATCCATGATTCATAATGTGCTACTTGGAGTTATTTTTCCATTTCGATGACACAAAGTTGTTTTTGCCAATTATTATCAAAAGCTATTAAGCAAAAAATAGAAAATAAAATTGACCGTTCTGTTAGTGAAAAATAAATGAATATCATTCGTTTCAATGTTTTGTTTTGTGTTGTAGAATATCAATGTGTAGTCTTATAGGTTGCAACTTTCAACACTAACTTCAGAGTGATTATGCCTTAATTCTTTATGGTTGAGTTGTGCTTTTGCAAGTAATTCAGTTTTGAAGTATTCTGAGTATTCAAGTGATATACTTTTTCAGTACAATGCTGGTTTTTGAGATCAGTCTTCATATGCCAAATGACAAAATGATTAAAAGAATGACATGCTTTATTTGACATATTTGGAATTTCCTATCAATTTATCAAAAATGGATTCTCATTGCAGCAACCAGGTTCTTCCAAAGATAAACCCCTTGGCAAGGAACTTCCGGAGAAAAGGACGTTGGTAATATGTAATATGTGATACCTCCTCTGCCCCACTGGGAAATTCTAACTTGTAATGCAATTTTCACTACAATTTAGAAATTTTCAGCAGAACGGAGGAAGCATTATTATTGTTTGATATTGAATGATGTTATTAACCTATATTTAGTGTTTATAGCCTTACAGCATATTTATAGGAACTGAGGAATTGATATGATTTTGTATTCAACCAGTGTCTTTCCATTATCAGTCATTCATTTTAATGCCCAATATCAATATGAGTAACCATATAACCTTGAAAAAATAATGGAGCCCCAACCAGTTCTACATATAGTAAAAGTGTTTTATAGTCAAATTTGGAACTTTCTGGTTCATTCTGTTATTCTCTCAATTCATCGATTGACTGAGCAGAAACAACTGTATGTTCTTTTGGATAGGAAACATTTAATTTCTTCTTGGAGTTGTATTTTGATTAAAGGAAGATGACTCAAATGATTTATACATACATACATACATACACACACACACACACACAGATATATATATATATATATATATATATATTTGTGTGTGTGTAGCTCCTAGACCCATAATCTCAACCTCTTAAGCGCAGTGGTGGGGCTGGATGTTGGATGTGGAGAAGCATGGGGTGCCACTATGCCGACATGCTTCCACGATTATATTTTGTTTATTTCGCTATGATACTAATTTTTAGGATATCTTTTGCATTTGACTCAGTCGTCCTGCTTCATTTTGAGGAAGTTGATTTAATCTGTCATTTTTTTTATCATCAGGAAATGACTGGATCTGCTTTGTATTCAGCTGCTGCTGCTCCACCAAGACAAGGGAAATTAGATAATTTCCTTGAAGTCCCTCCAATCTCTTCTTACTGCGTAAGTTTCTTTCTGGAAGTTCTTATGCTTCATTTTCCTCTCTTCACTTCAAGTGAGGTTCCATGAAGGAAAGTATAGAATTTGAAAAAAAATTCCTTTAAGCCTCTTCTTCTGTCACCCGTATACAGTAAGTCATTGTGTTAGAAAAGTGTTAGTGTGAATGGCCTGGTATTAAAATGTCAGATGTATTGAAGTATAAACCAAACCCCTTTCAACATTTTTGGAAAATAAAACGGGGTGCCGTATATCCTTGAGCTCAATATATACTCTGTATTCGAACTTCATCTGGGGCCCTGCTTGTTTTTCCCTTACTCTTCCACTTATTCATAATCTTTCACACAGAGAAAATGTTTATTGGTGTTGGAGTGTTGGCCAAAAACTTTTACTGTTTGTTTAATAAGGCTCAAAATAACTGAAGTGAAGAAGTCACTGTACCTGAATTTGTGGTTGAAATTTGCTTTTTTGGTTGAACCTCTTGTCTTATCTAAAATAAATATTTCAAAGTATACATTTCAAAATAGAGGGAAATATATGAAAAAAAACTAAGAATATCACTTTTATCCATTTCAGCAGAAAAGTATATGACACTCGTTTACATTTTGAGCCAAAAAAGCTGCTGCAGTAACAATAGTTTAAACAACAATGACAAACCCCGGATAATCCCAACTCTATTGGGGTCTGGGAGGTCAGGATGTACACAATTTTATCCACGTAAAAAAAACAAAGAGGCAGTTTTTGTCAGACTCTAGATTTATTGATGCTAAAGAATTGGCTAATAAGGATGATAAGCCAAAGTTAATGCCTACCAACCTCACTCTTTTGTGATATTTTTATTATTTCACATTTCATTATTTTCAGAGCTCCTGTATTCTCGAGTTTGATGGTGCGTCAAAGGGAAACCCCGGACTCGCTGGTGCTGGAGCAGTGTTGCGTGCAGCAGATGGAAGTGTGGTAGTTTTGTTTTTTTTAAATTTTTTTTCCTGAACAATTTATCATATTCATCACTTATTCTTACAGCTTCAACCATCTTATATTCTTGATTTTAGGTTTTCCGGCTGCGTGAAGGTTTGGGCATTGCAACCAACAATGTTGCAGAATACAGAAGCTTGATATTGGGATTGAAGTATGCTCATGAGAAAGGATTCAAACACATACGAGCCCAAGGAGATTCCAAGCTTGTCTGCATGCAGGTCTTCCCTCTCTTTTGCATTACATGCAGTCTTAACAACATCATGCATGATTAGTATTTGAAATCCCTTTTTTGCACTTTTGGGACCAAACAATACTAGGTAATGAAAATAGGAAGGTGGATAGACTATAGAGTAGAGGAAAATTTGAATTAGATAGAATATGGGGGAAATAAAAGGTAGGCAAAGTCTAGAACTCAATAAATATTTTTTAGATATTAGTTGTATTCATTTTATTCATTAATGTCTTCTTCTATATACAGTAACACATCTGAATATATGTAGATTTTTCAAAAGATAAAATTTATCGTTTTTCATTTTTCTTTGGATTTTACAATGTAAAATCAAGCATATGAAAATAATTTTTGTTAGCTTTTTCCCCCCCTACACCGAGCATTTTCTGGGATAAAATGGCCCTTGATATTTTCATGTTGGAACAGACTCAGGGACTCTGGAGAACTAAGAACCAGAACATGGCTGAGCTGTCGAAGGTGGTCAGGGAACTAAAGGAGCAATTCACGTCGTTCCACATCAGCCATGTCGATAGAGTATGCACAAGTTTTATCTCTATCTCAGCTCAAACTTATCTTGTCTTGCTTAAATAAAACAGTCTGCCTATTGGGATGCCTCTTAAGTGATGCTTGTTTTCATTTTTTCCCCTTTTGCTAGGAGTTTACTCATTATCGTCTTAAAACTTGAGTTTGATGACGGAAGGGAAAATCTCACTTTTTATCCCTCAATTGTTTGACATTATGTCCATATGAGACGCATCAAGTATTAGGTGCTTATGAGGACATTTGCGACTTTAAAAATAAACAATAATTGTAACGGGCTCTCAAATATAAGAAATGAGTGACTAAATTGAAAGGATGATGTCAAATAATTGAAGGGGACTTGAACTCTTGAAGCAAAAGCATGATGTTTTCTCTTTTAATAGAATCTGTAGTAAACTGTGGTTTTGTTTACATTTCAGGAATACAACACCGAAGCTGATGCTCAGGCAAATCTAGCCGTGTATCTAGAACGTATACTTTCTTTTTTACCAATAAACCTCCCTTTAGATTTGTTTTTTCATCCCTTTTTCGAATCACAAGATTATTGTTCTAAAAACATGATGTGCGTGCAGATGGACGGGTGGAAGTTGAATGAGGCGGCGTGGAGCCCGCCGAAAGCCAAATCACTTAACAACGTCGTGATTTTGGGTTTTGGGGAGAATCTGTGAATCCTGCAGACTAACAATGTGTGTATGTAGTAGAAGAAGATATGCAGCAAATTGTTGGGCTATTATTTATGTAGATTCACTTGACACTGCCCTTTCTCTGCCCCAAAAAATATATGGAGCAAGTCACTTGTTCCACAAACTTTTAGGTGCTTTCAAATAACTTATTCAAATAGCTGGCAAAAAGGTCATGGGTGTTATCTGGCAAAATATGATTCTCATGTGAGCATATATTTTGTGATCAGAATTGGAAGGTCTTTATACTTTTTTAAAACTACTCTGGCAGTTTGAATATAGTACTCCCTCCGTCCCCCATAGATCTTCTCAATAGCCATTTTTCTTTGTCCACAATAGATCTTTTCATTTCATTTTTTAACAATTAAAATACCACAACTACCTCTATTTACTTTATTTATTACACCTCACCCACCTCATTTAATATACTCGTACATAAATACCCTGATAGTTTTTTTCTGTTATAAGACAGTATATACACCTGCCCAAAAAAAATTACTGACTTTCTTGAAATTCAAGAAAAGTATTGAAAAAATAAAGATTGGAATTTCTTTAAATTAGAGAAGAATCTTGTGATAAGTATGTTTCAAGAGAAAAAAGGTGTATAAATTTTTTGAAAATATTCGATGTTTTTTAGGAAACTGCATATCCCAATTGCATATTCAACAAAAAGTGTGTATGCTCTGTTCTTTAGCATCTGTTCTAATCAAAGTTCATCAAGTTTCCAGCAAATGAACACTGATCACATTAAACTATGAAAGTGGCAAAAAAAGACTGGTAAAAAACTTGCAGGTTTTCAATCCAAAAGAGAAAAAAAACCCATCAGAAGCAATCTTCTTCTTTCGAATCTTTATTTACAGTTCTAAATCCGAAGATGGAAAAAACCCGGAAGATAATTACAACCCATATTCAAGAAAAGATAAAAAAAAAACCATAATCAACGCGAATACTGTGTTTTGATCCCTTCATCGTCTTCGTCGCCTTTAGAGTTCAGCAATTCTTCCCAGTCCACTTCTTCTTCTTCTTCATCTTTCTTTCTCAGAACCTCCAATACCTTCTTTGCCTTTGACCCGACCCGTTCGCTTCCGGTTTCTTCCACCCTCACCAACACTTCCTCTGCTCCCGCTTCCTTTGCCAAACCCTTAAACCTCAACCCGCCATGGCTGAGCCCGTACAGTGCAGAAACGCAGCTCTCTCTGATGGAGTCTGATTCGGACTCGCCCTGTTTTAGAATGCCGACGAAGCAGTCCACTGCGCCGCCGTCCAGCAGCGCCGCCCGCCCTTCCGGGCTGCCGGCTAGGTTACACAGAATCAGGAGGATCCGGCCGGTCATGTGACCCGATTTCACCATACCGATTAGGGACGGAACCGACCCGAGTTTCACGAGTTTGGCACGGTTGCTTTGCACAGTGGAGAGATGGTAGAGGGCCAGAACGGCGTCGTGTCTGGTCCGTTCCGAATCGGATCGGAGGGAGTGGAGGAGCGGAGGGAGAGCTCCGAGGACGCCGATTGCGGTCTTGTTGTGGTCCTCTAGGGCTAAGCTGAAGAGAGCGCCGGCGGCGTGGTCCTGCGATTCAGGGGAACCGCCCTTCAGGGCGTCGATCAGCGGCGGGACGATCCCGGAGCGGACGATTCTGACCTTGTTTTGGCTGTCCAAGGAGAGGTTCACCAGCGCCGCCACCGCGTTGACCTGGACGGCCGCGCATCTGGAGGTGATGTGTGGCCGGAGAGCGGCGAGTAATCTTGGGGTGCCGAGCTGGATCCGCTTCTCCTCCCGGGTTCGGGTCAGATTCCGGAGCAGTACCACCGCCTCTTCTTGTTCGGAAACAATGGGGCTCCTCAGCTTCGCTACGATCTCGTCTTCTTCGAGAGAGTTCGCGTGGAGGGCTTCCAACTCCGGGGAAGACGAGTAACACGCCGTCCGTGAGGCCGCCGCCGCCGCAGATTCCTCGGAACTCGTCGTGGACAGCAGACTGGGCGTCCGGTCACACACAGACCGCGATTCGCTGAACGTCTTCGAAATCAGGCAAGGACCAGAAATGGCGCTCTGAGCGGCCATGAGAGCACGGACGAGCTTCTGGGCCGAGAGAAAATCGACGGGGCCGGGAGAATCGACGAGAGAAGAGCGGCACCAGTTGAGAATGGCGGTCCGGAGGGCCAAATTGGGGATAACGGCGGAGAAATCGGGGGCGGACCCATCGCGGAGAGTGGGGGAGAAGGAGAGAGACTTGCAGGCGAGAGCGCAGTTTCGCTCGAAGGTGTGGCCGGAGGCGACGACGACAGGGTCGGCCATGAGAGAGCGGGAGATGGGGCAGGTGAACTCGTCGGGGACGGCGACGAGAAGATGTTGCTTTCTGAGAAAGGAGAGCTTCCATCTGGTCTTGCCACTGCCCATTTTTCTGTCGAATGGGAGAAAGAAGACGAAGAAGAAGATGGCGAGTTCGTCAATGGAAGACAAGAATGGAATGATGGGTTGGATGAGGAAAACGCGGGGGGCGGAGATTTATGGGTTTGGGAAATTGGGAATGAATCAATGGGCCGAGTTTTAGGCCTCCTTTAGCCTTACCAAAGATTATCTACCGTATCTTTTAACCTTGTCAGAATTAATCTCCATCATTAAAATGTTATTTTAAACGCTAAGAGTCCGTTTGGTACACGGAATTGATGAAATTGGAATTGAATTGGAATCATAATTTCATGAGATTCAATTCCATAGAATTGAATTCACCTATTCCAATTCATTTTTTGCACTACCAATTCCAAATCCACATAATTTTTGTGCTACCAAACGCTAGAATTGGAATTGAGGTTCTCAATTCCAATTCCATAGTTTGAATTCCATGTACCAAACGGAGTCTAACATTAATTGAAAATTCAGTTTCCAAACAATGCCTTATACAAATGGGAATACATCCAATTCCAATAGGTGTTAGTTACGGTACTATGCTCTTTTGAAATCATTAACAACCCTAATAAAAAGGGATAGGCTTTAATTTTCATTTCTAATACGGAGTAATTACTTCCTCCATTCAGATTTACCTTAAATTTATCTTACAAATTCGCCACTCACCCTAAATCATTAGCTACGCAATGCCACATACTCCCTCCGTCCCATTTTATAACGCCTGTTTCGGTTTACGATGTTTGACTGAAATTATTTTCAAATCATTTTATATGACAAATGGTATAAAGTTAAAAAATAAAAAATACTACATCAAAAGATCTACAAAACTAGTAGTGACAACAATACTTTATTTTATCAAATTGTTAACGAAAATAGAGAAAGAAAGTGAATAAAGTTTGACCCTATGAATAGTGAACATGCATTATAATTTGGGACGGAGGGAGTTATTTTATAAAATGAGTAATAAAAATAAGCAAACAAAATAAGTTATATGTGAACATGTAAATATTGTCTGGAAATATATATGAGAGACAAAATTGTTTTATTTTATAAAATAATCAAAAAAATATACAAAAAAATTCTAGTGAGTTTTGAATAGTGATCTGTGACATTTTTTTTGGAACGGAAGGAGTAATAAAAATAAACATTTGAAATTTTCCTTCTTTTTATACTTCACATTTTTTAAAATTGTCTTTTTTAAATATGCCTATTTTCTTTTTCCATTTAAACCTTTTTTTAGTTTCTTAGTTTTTTCATTTTTCATTTTTTTCATTTTGTATCATAACAATAAAATAAAATACATAAACTATACTCCATATTAATTTAAAAAGTACATGATAGCATTACTTAAAAATACAGTACAAAATTATTACTTTCTTTAGTATTTGTCTATTTCTCATTAAATCAAAATCTCTAATTAATATAAATTATTTATTTTTTATGTTTATTATTTCTGATTTCTTTGCTTTTTTCGTCCAAACCCCTTTTTAAAAGATTTTTCTTTTTTTTAAACCAATTTTTTTCTTCACTGTTTTTTTTAAATATAATGTCACTTCATAGGACACATTTTATTACTCCGTATTTTATAGCATAAAAAACAAAAAAATAAACTAATTTAATTTAAATAGATAAAATCATGATAACACAATTTATCATCAAAACTCATTTCATTCTTTAAACCTAACAATAAGAGTAAATATAATTTGTTCAATTCAAAGTGTTTTATTTTAGGTTTTTTGTTAATCACTTTGTCTACTTTTTGACATTTGACTTAAGGAGTTCCATTTTGAAAACTTAAGGAGTTCTATTTTTTTCCAAAAAGGTAAACATAAAAGAGGAAAATTGTTGAACATTTTCTAGTTTTCCTTCAAATTCAGGTCAAATACATATGAAGCGTCCCATTTGGGATTAAAATTACGTGGTTCAATGAATAAGATGTTCTTCCAAATGAAAGATCACGGGTACAATTTCCAGTGAAGATGATACTTCTTTAAACTTCAATAGATTAAAAAAATATATATGAAGATTTACTATAATTATAATAAAGTCAACAATGCTAAAAAACTATTTATGTGAAATTGGTGCTTAATGTCAAAAAAAATGGATTGCTAAGTTATTACGTTTTACGTTCTTGTTTAATCTTCTCATTCTAATTTTATATAGAGTTTACAAGATGTAAAATTGCATTGTTGGAATTTATACATAAAAATGAATATAATGTATATGAACCAAATATCTTTTTAAAAAAGATATAGAGATCCCTCTCAATATCCTTCCATTGTGAGAGCACTGCAGTACTTCACTTTCACCTGTCCGGACATTACCTATGCCGTCCAGCAGCTATGTCTCTTTCTTCATGATCCTTGTGTGCCACATGTCACAGCAATGAAGCGCGTTCTGCGCTACCTACACGACACACCCACCCACGGCATCACCATATCACCTTCTCAGACGGATCATATGCGAGCGTATTCAGATGCCGATTGGGCTGGCTGTCCAGATACTCGCCGTTCGACATCCGGTTACTGCATTTTTCTTGGCGATAATCTCATTTCACGGTCCTCCAAGCGACAACTCACCACCTCTCGATCCAATGCTGAAGCAGAATATCGAGCTGTTGCCAATGCAATCGCTGAGGTCAGTTGGGTACGCAATCTACTACTAGAACTCCGGCAACCCCTGACTCGCTCTACACTGGTCTTTTGTGATAACATCAGTGCCGTCTACCTTTCTGCAAATCCCGTCAAACACCAGCGCACAAAGCACATTGAGGCTGACATCCACTTCGTGCGCGAGTGCGCGACAGAGTAGCCCTTGGCCAAATACGGGTTCTACATGTACCTTCCTCTCTACAGTATGCAGACATCTTTACCAAGGGACTACCTTCCATGGTGTTCTCCGAGTTTCGGGATTGATTGGGAGTGCGGCGATCTTCATAGTGCCGTTGGGAGCATGTTAAATATATTCTTACTATATTTAATGTTAATGTATATTGGTAGCTACCATATTTGTATAGGTTGTATTAATTAATGTTTCCTATTATAATTAGGAAACTTATGTATATAAACACATGTAATCTCCCATTATTGTATCATTGGAAATTATCAATTCTATAGTTTTAAATATTTGTATCACGGTCCCGTCCCATTTGATATTGGTTCGGTTTTGGTTCGGGATAGAAAAAATTAATCCCGTTTAAAAGCAATATAACGGTTCAGTATCATTACGGTCTGGTGTTGTACCATGCTAGTTCAGTATTTTCCAAAGCAGGAACGACACGAGTATCATCATTTCTTTCCAGACTTATTTGCTAAGCTTTCTCTTTTTCTCAATTAGAGAGTGTCAGAATTTCTTCTAAATTGTACCATGCTTGTTGTTGCTTTCCACATGAAATTGTGGAGTCCATACCTTACATATATAGGCTTTTTAGCCTCCCTTTCTAGAGTAAGTGTAATTTTTCCTCATTCTTTTAGTTTGTTGTGAAACTAGCCAATCAATAATCAAATTTGTCGGGAACGTATCTTAAATGTTTTAGCTTGAGATAGATAATGAACGAAATTAATATAACACGTATTTAACTTCATTCATTCCCTCCGTCTTAATATAAATTACATATTTACTTTTCACATGGTCAAATTTTAAATATCTTTTTTTACCTTGTGAGATGTGGTTTTATTCTTTCTCCATTATTTACTATATTAGTAGCAAGAATCAAATAAAGTGGAGAGGAATAAACTTGTGCATATATGCTTTTGAAGAAAAAAAACTTTTAGAAAAGTGGGTTAGCATTCATTACCACACTCCTTTACAAATTGGCAACCTCAACTTTTTGTTTTGCCATTTGACAAAGAAATATTTGCAAGTGGGGAAAAAAACAATGAATAAAGGAGTGAGCAGCAACTTTTAGCAGGTAGAATTTCAGGTAAAGGCAAAAATCAAATACTCAAGCAGGTGTCCCGTCCTACGTTGTTGGTGGGTCAAACGGCCATGTTTTTAGGCTTTTCTATTTCAGGTTACATCATCTAATTAGTAGTGATGGGCTGGCCAAGGTCGGGACCGGGTGAGGGGTTTACCTAGTGGGTTAGAGAGGATAGGAACATCCAAGAGTTTTGGAAGAGTAAAATCTGAAATTTGATTCGTCGGGTTTCTAATTGATTTGTTGGTTTGGTCATTACTTAGCATCACGATTCTTAGTTTCGAGCTCCATATTGTTGTTAGAAGTGAGAAATCTCCAATTAATCTAACCAAAAAGATTATACCAGGAGGCGAGATGTTTATTGATGAAAAACCCTCTCATTTTGGGATGGGATCCTCTGTCCCCCTCACAGTCCCAACTCAATGTTCCCCCTCCCTACTTCACTCACATTTTGCCACATAACCCATCTCCACCCTAATTTAACGCACACCCACCCACCTATATGCATACGACCCCCTATCCCACCACTCATCAAAGGGTGGTGGGTGTGTGTTAAATTAGGGTGGGAGCAAGTTATGTGGCAAAATGCGAGTGGAGGAGGGACGAGGGATATAGAGTTGGGATAAGGAGGGGGGGGGGGGCAGAGGATCCCATCGCTCTCATTTTACCTCCACGATGACTCAAACTCTAGATCTTAAAATAGAAAATCTTAACTCTTAAGTGCAAAGTGATAACCAGATGAACATGAACCACTCCAATAGTTCAAGTCACCGTGGAGGTAAAATGTAAGACTTTACATTGAACTTCATATCTCACCTCATTTTTCTCAATTTCAAACAAATACTTATAACTCTCATTTTTCAACATTTCTCTTACATTATGTTTGGTTCAAGGAATTAAGAAAGAAAGGAAATGAAAATGATTTCCCTTTTTTTCCTCACCAAAATAAAAAGAATCGTGTTTTCCTTCTTCTTAGCTTATCATTTTCTTTTGCTTCTACATTTCTTTTCAATCTTCCCCCCCTAACCAAACATGAAAAATGGTTTTCCATATTATTTTCTTTTGTTTTCCCTCTCAAATTCCTTGAACTAAAATAGTGTTAAAGTTTGTAATATCAATAGAGGAGCATATTTGAATTCCTTTTCTGACTTGAGTGGTAAGAAACTCACTCTTCAAGATCTAAATGGACCTTGACGACACACCTTTCAATTTCTCACAACAAAATTGGAGTTATGGCAACCGACAACTTTTTTTTGAAAACAGGAACCATATCAATTTCTCAACAATATAAACAACTTGTTACATATTCAAATGATAACATATTTGTCCATATGAACATAAAAATCAACAACAAATTATTATTATTATTGGTATCAAGCCAAGAGAATCATAAAGAAGTTGCTGCCACTGAGCTCAAACCATGGCTGTAACAAAGCAAAAATGGAGACACAAAGGGAAGGGTCTTAGGCTTAGGCTTTGTTCATTTTCATAAGAAAGCATTATAAGAGAATGGGGGGAAAAGAATTATGGATAGGGGGAAATGATCAAGATGAGGGCCTATAGTACTTGGTCGGGACGAAGGGCATTTTAGTAACTACACCATCATAGGACTTCCCGCGAACCAAAATCTTCACATTGGTGCCCGCTTTGTGCAAACCGGATTTCACATACCCCATCGCGATGTTCTTCTTGAGACAGGGACTGAACCCGCCGCTAGTGACTTCCCCAATGTTTTCAAGCCCTTTCTCTTCTTGGATCTCACTGTGGCTTCTTGCTGGTGGGCCGGAGGACACGATGCCCACTCTTCTGGTTTTTGGGCCTTCTTCAACTTGTTTCAGGATCACCTCAGCCCCGAGGAAGCCTCCTTCGGCCCGTCGTCTCTTCCCTATGGCCCACGTAAGCCCGGCCTCAACGGGCGTTATGTGTTCGTTCATGTCATTGCCGTATAAGCACAGGCCGGCTTCAAGCCTGAGGCTGTCGCGGGCACCCAGCCCTGTTAGCCTCACCTTCCCTTCGGATCTTTCTAGAATGGCTTTCGCAAGGTCGACTGCATGTTCCGAAGGTACGGAAATTTCAAACCCGTCTTCCCCCGTGTACCTTTTTTGTGACATCCGTGTGGATTTCAGACTTCTTGAGATGTTACTCTAAATACATTGGGTTTCTTTTGACACCAAAAAAAACCATCATAATATGACACTAGTCCATTTGTGGATCTTACGGTGTTCTATTTGACCCCAAAGTCGTTCGTACCCCCTACTCGGGTAATAATACACTGTCAAATGGATTGTCACCCAAAAGGGAGGAGCAGACAATGGGGAGAGTTTGCGGGGGTTAGAAAGAGAAGGAACCACTTCGGGATCAACAAAGAACCGTAGGACTCTCATATGGACTGGTGTCATATTATGAACTAGCCCTTTGTGCCAAAAGGACCGGGTCGAAATAAATAAAGATAGTTCCTAATATGGTTTATAGAAGGAAACATCGTTGTGTTCATAACATGTTTCGTGAGTCGTGACGATGATTAATACTTTGGCATAAAGGAGAAGGGGGATGATCAATGAAATGAGGCATTACCCGGTTCTTGTGAGGAAGCATGAGACCCCATTGATATCCAAAACCTTGAAGTTGCCAAAGTACATCTTGCTTATATCTTCTCCCTTTGTCAAATGTTGAAGGACTGTGGCTGCAACTGGTCCCTGAACCACAAAAGATTAAACATTGGTTTACTGGGGTTAAGAGATAGGAATCATCAATTTTTTGATTGGAGTACCATAAATACCCGATGTCATAATATGACATCAAAACCTAATGTCAAAAGAACCACGGTGATAATTATTATCATTATTGTTGTTGTTAATTAATTAGCAAATAGGAGCTGACCTGGAGGGCCAAGAGAGACCGGTCATCATGGATTTGCCAAGAAACGTCGCCCCCCTTAGACGCATAAGCTTTCATATGTTCTTCAATGTGTGCAAGATCCTTGTCCCTGCACCCGGCATTCACAACAAGATATATATGACCATCATTGACCTTGGCAATCACAGAATCATCAATGGCCCCACCCTTCTCGTTCGTGAAAACAGTCAAAGTTCCCGTCCCCGGATCAAGTCCTGCCACATCAGCAATGACAAGCTTCTCCAAGAACGGGACGCAGTCTTTCCCTTTCAGACTCAGACCGCACATATGGGAAACATCAAACAGACTGCCATTTTCCCTGCAGTTCACCGTGGACTCCATGATCGAGTCCTTGTACTGAATGGGCATGCTCCAACCTGCAAATGGCACCATTTTGCCGCCGTTTTGGACATGGAAGTCGTGCAGAGCGGTTTTCTTGAGAAGATCGGCGGCTTCTGACGCAAAACATCTGCGCGCAATGGTGGGCAAGCAGTGGCGAGTGATTGATTGCCCGAGTTTCCACATTCCTCCTCCCCTCATCTTCACAAAACTATATTATCTGCATACCAATATGAAATACGAGTTGGTGGTGCATTTATGACACATTAACAATGTAATGTATGTTAAGAGTCTCACATAGAAATAGTAACAGCTAGGCTGAACAGGAAGAACGCAATCTACTAGCTAGACTATTATCCGGTTACTTGTCAAAAACATTGCATTGTCAAGTATAAAACTGGCCTTTAATTTAAAAGAAAAACATGAATTTGTCACCAATAGAAAACATGGAACAATGTTGGTGTAAAATATTCCACAGGTCATTACTTCCAAAATACCCTTGTTCAAACATCATCAACAGGCAGAGTAAAATCCGCCCAAAAAAGTAGGGTCTGGTGGAATAATTGTATAACATCAATTGACACCATAAACTCATGCATAAAACACAGTGACAATGCTTAAAAATACTATCCCAACTAACAAATTACAAACCCAAGGGGAATTTGCATATGCAAACTTTATAATCTTTATACCCCATCAAAGCATCACAGATTGAAATGGGATATACATGTGCAAACCAGATCAAAGCTATCCACCAAAACCCAGTAGAATCCCACATAAAGTAGGGTGTCCCGGTAATGCTCACCATTATATGGGAAAAAAAAGGAGAACAAGATGAATGCTTATTACTAAACCTACCTCTTTGGCCTTGACGGGAACGACAAAACGAGTGAAAGTGAGAAATGAATGGTTTTTGCTTCCCATGATCCTCCTCTTCCACTTAAGGCAAAGAGGATCTGGAGATAATCTAATTGGCAGTTAACAAGTCACACCTATCAACTAAAGCTTTGTTCTTTTGGATTGGAAAAACGGAGTTGAGTTGAATACTGAAAGAAACGGGGAGGAGTTTGAAAAATATTGGCCAAAATTTCAGAGAGAAAGATGAACAACCATAATTTAATTTGAAAATGGGCAAATTGATTGGGAAAAGGCCATGGATGGCTGGCGAAAAACAGACGGGCCCAAGAAAATACATTCAATACCCAGAAAAATACAAATTAATACAAATAATTGTTCGAAAACAATTGGAAAAAAACACACGGTATGCAATTATGAATCACAGTGTAACAAGAATACATAAGAGATTCAAATTGTGGAAAAGAAATTACTATGAGAGATCCAAGAAATGCTTACCGAACCTGTAAAAGCGTGGAACTTTATTAGTCGCTTGTTAGTAATGGAGAAAAAATGGTATGGTATCCACTATCCAGATTACGGAGACCAGGGTAGATGCAGATGGCGAGAGAGAAGAAAAAAATTCAGGTCGTATTATCAAAAATCAAAATCTACTTGGGTGAAGTGCGGTGAACACAATTCGGGTCGGATCAATAAATCAGGCCAAAACAGTGAACACTAAAAAATCACATTAATACTCAAGGAAATAGGCGATCTTATTACAATATCCCAAAATTCATTAATTGAGGTAACTTGAGTTTCCAAATATTACTCATTTTTACAATGTTATTGTGAGCTTCCAACTAGGGTTGTAAACGAACTGAATCGAATCGAATATTCATGAAAAATATTCATATTCGTTAAGATGGAGTAATATTCGAATTCGAATTCGGTTCGAATATTTTTTAAGATTCGTATTCGGTTCGTTTAATATATTAAACATATTCGGTTCGTTTAAATATATTCGGTTCGTTTAAAAATATTCAGTTCATTTAGATTTTAAAATATTTTAAAACCATTTGATACACACACACACACACACACACATATATATATAAAATTGTATAATTAAATTTATATTCCGAATATATTTGTCAAACTCACGAATCGAATACCCTTAGATTCATATTCGTATTCGATAAGGATTCGAATATTTATTTAGATTTGTATTCGTATTCGGATTTGAAAAAATCGAATACGAATCACCTTAAACGAATACGAATCACGAACCAAACAAAAAACATTCGATTCATTTACAACCCTACTCCCAACTCATATAAATACGAAAATACATCTCACATTTTATATGCTGACGAGAAAGTTATTAGTATAAATAGGTAATTAATAAAAAATTAAAAAAATGTTTGAAATGTGTTATACCTAGAATACATCCCGCTTGTTTAAAGCTAAAATGTATTCATATTAATATTTGATAAATTGTGAAATGTACTAGAGCTATAAAGATAATATTTTATAATCAAAATGTTACGGAGTATTTGTTATAGATGACAAATTTTTCTAGGTCATGCTCATTTTATTAATCTTAGTACATTTGTATCATAAAAGAAGTGATTTTTTGGAACAAAAAAAAATATTTACATGTAAGGTCATGAAAAATATGAGAAGATTAATATTTTAAATGTGGACTTTAGAATTATGTTAGAATTGCTCGTGTTAGATAGCCAAGATGGGTAATGAAGAGACCCAAAAGCATATATCCTATAAACGAATTTGATCTGCTGATATAAAATTATAACCATTTTAAAAGTATAAAATATAGAAAATAAAATTGAACTTGTTGGACAATTATTTGACAAAACAAAATTTACTAATCTGTATCCCAAGGTTCAAGTGACATTGGAAAGCAATATCATGGGATGACTCGGGAGTGCTCCGGTACCATGTTCGTAAAATTAACAGTTTCTATCCCTCCTAACCCATTCGATAAACGCCCCCACCCGGCCCCAACCGGAACACACTCCCCACCCCCTTCAATTGCACCCCACAAGTTGATTTTGACTTTGGAATCAAAATTTGACTCCAAAGTCAAAATTAATTGTGGGGTGCAATTGAAGGGGGTAGGGAGGTGTTCGGGTCGGGGCCAGGTGGGGGGTTTGGAGAGGTAAGAATCATCAATTTTACAAACGGGACACCAAAGCACCCCCGAGTCATCCATGACATTGCTCTCCAATGTCACTTGAACCTTCCCCTAATCTGTAATGCTAATGAATTACTCCCTCCGTCCAAAAAAGAACTTCACACTTTCCTTTTTGGTCCGTTCACAAAAAAACTTTCCGTTTCCTTTTTTGGAAACTTTTGTAAATGAAATGTCAATTGTGCCCTTATCCAATTCTTCTTCTCCCTTTCTTCTTTCTTCCATTTTTCTTTCTTTTTCTCCTTCATTCTTTTTCTTCTTCATTCTCCTGCTTTCTTCTTCCGCATCTTCTTTCTTTATTGTTTTATTTTCTTCCTTCTTCCTTCTTCTTCTTATGCTTTCTTCTTCCGTCTTCTTCTTCTTCTTTCTTCATTTTTTTCTCTTTTTTCTTCCTTCTTCTTTCATCAACTAAAAGAAGAAATATTTTTTCAGATCTCTGGGTTGCATCTTCACCAGATCTAGATTTGCAGTGACAATATTTTTAATTTTTTCCAGATCTGTGGTGGAATTTTGATTTTTCTCAACGAGAAGTCTCAAAACAGATCTTTTCGAGGGATTCGGATTGCAGGTATGCGACGGCGATGGATGTGGATTGCGACAGAGAGAGGATGCTGGGAGCTGCGATGGAAGGGGGCTTGCGACGGCGGGGCGCTGCAAAGGGGGGGATTTCGATTGCGGGGGTTGCGGAAGCGTCGATGGCGGCGGTCAGAAGCGTCGCCGGCGGCGTTGCGGAAGCGTTGCCGGCAATGGTGTGGAAGCGTCGCCGGCGGCGGTGCGTAAGTTTTGGTGTTGGACGGGGTAGATGGCGCTGCCAGTGGGGGAACATGGTAGAGAGGATGAGGGGTATAATGGGAAAGTCAAAGCAATTTTCATTTCACATAAATTTACGCACCAAGTCAAAGCGGGAAGTTCTTTTTTGAACGGAAGGAGTATAAAAACAAACAAATACTCCCTAGAAGTTTGATAAGATATACCATTACTTTGTTATCATTTTGTTTTTCAAACAAATATCCAAAGAATCTCATATACCGTATCCCGGATTTTTCTTAAGATATACTCCCTCCATCCAAAATTAAAGTTCCTACTTTCCTTTTCAGGATGTCCACAATTAATGTTCCCGTTTCTAATTTTGGAAACTTTTCTTTGTTAAAATGTCTGAAATACCCTCCACTTCAAATTACTTTCTTTTCCTCTCTTCTCCTCCCTTTCCTTCGGCAGCCACCCCCCTCCTTTTTCTCTTTTCTTCTTCCTTTCTTTTTCTTCTCTCCTTTTTTCTTTTCTCTCGGACGTTCTTCCTTCCCTTCTTTTTCTTCTCTCCAGAATTGTTTCTTCTCTTCTCCTTCTTCTTCTCTATTTCTTATTCTTCTTCTTCTTTTCTCTTTCTTCCTCTTTATTTTCTTCTTCCCTCCCCCTTTTCATTTGTTCAACCGACCATGTTTCCTTTCTCTTTTTCTTCTCGTCTTCTTCTTTAATTTCTTCTCCCCCCCTTCAGATTTGGTCAATAGATCATTCAAATCTCCGTCAGATCTAAGAAATTCGCTTCAGATCGGGATTCGATTCAGATCTGGAAAGGAGGTCAGCATCAACGAAGGTTCTTTTTCTTAAAGATTGCCTGCGATTTTGTCGCCGGAGTTCTCTCTGCCTTAAAGATTGTCTAGCGATTTTTGTCGCCGGAGTTCTCTCTGCCTTAAAGATTGCCTGTGATTTTGTCGCCGGAGTTCTCTCTGCCTTAAAGGTTGCCTAGCGATTTTGTCGCCGGAGTCCTGCGGAGTTTTGCTCTGGTTGAATCTGGTCTTCTGGAATGATGGGAGAGGGGGAACGGTTGGGGACGACAGTATGGGTGGCAGGTGGGCATGTGGGGGTAAGGTGGAGGGTAATTTGGGAAAGTCAAAGAAAATTTTAAGTTTTATTAAACTCCATGCCAAGTCAAAGTGGGAACTTTAATCTTGGACGGAGGGAGTATCGTTGAATTTCACTCTTAAATGCATATCCAACGAATATAACTTTGATATAATACATTAACTTTAAAATTTTCCATTTCTCTTATGAAAACATTACTCACCATTTATATAATTAAACTTTTAATGCATTTCAAAGCTCCAATTTTAATATTGCATTTCAATTTTTTAGTTTTAAACGGGCGGAGATGGATGATATTTCTAGTTATAATGCATTTCAAGTATTGACCAAACACGATTATTAAGAAGCTGAATATGAAGCACGCTGTTGTATATATCATCTCACTTCACAAGACCTCACTCTCATTGTTGGTGAATTGAGTAGCACATTGATGGATTCACATTGAGGGAATCTCAAAAACTTGGATCTAAAAATGTGTATCACTGATTGGTACTAACAGTTCACAAGTACAACGGACGAAGTATCATAAATTTGCCGTTGTTTCTCTGATCTCCTCCAAAGAAATGGTCTGCAAATAAGAAAGAAGATTTTGCAATACAATACAAGGTATAAATCAGCCACCATAACATTATAATGACTTCAATAAGTCACAAATGAACAACGACAACAAACCCAATATAATCCCAAGATTCCCAACCCTGTACGGGCCTAGAGGGTCAAGCCCTAACAACACTAGCCCTTATCATGAATTGTATTATGTATCAGAAACCAAATGGAACAGAAGAGGCTACTTATCTACTGTAAGATTTACCTGCTCTTTCCCAGCAAAATCGTTGTTCTCGGTGAGAAAGAGCATGCAATGGCACTCCTTCCTGCCATTCAACCCAAGACTCGTAAGCGTATGCATACAGATATTTCCATCAAAACCTTTTAAAAAATCAAAGGCATTCTACCTCTCTCTCATCGGTACACAGGGGCAATTCCAGAAGCCCTGCTGCACTTCTGCAACTTTATCATCATAGTACCTGTAATGGAGACAGATATTGTAAAAAGTTGACACATACACAACGGTTTAAATCATGTTACGGAAAGATATCTCTGGTTCAACTTTTACCTACAGGGGCAGAGCGGAGCACCCAGTGAGTCCTTGTGTTCTGCCAGTCCCTTTTTACATTTCAGAAAGAATATCAGATAAGCCCATGAATATATATACACAGTTTGACAAGAAACGTGTAAGTTGTGACACGGCTAATTCAAGAAATTTGCAAGTGTCAGATTTTAAGCAGTGATCTGCAGATAAATTCAGGTAGCTAAACTCTAAAAAATGTGGGTAACAATGACATAATTTTCAAACATCACGAAGCGTACACTGAAGGCCTTTCACATAATTGCAAGAATCACTAGCTATTTTTTAGCTCCGTATGAGTAACATGAAAATTATCAGCAGTAGCAGCTCAAACACACAAGAATAACAAAGCGTTACAAATACACTCCTGCATATCCAATTTATCATGCTCATGCATATATTCCTTTTGGCTCGTCCCAATATATCATTCCCATTTTCATTTACAGAAAGCATTATCATCTGCATAAATCTCAACCACACAATCATCACTTTTTAATTTGTAAGCACGATGAAAACGGACGGAGGGAGTGCAAGTG